GGCGCTGCCGGAGCTGAGCGAGCGGGCGGCGGGCGCCGAGGCGCCGGCCGAGCTGCAGTTCTACCTGGTGCTGGCGCTGGCGCTGCTGTCGGCGCTCTTCGTGCTCAGCGTGGCGCTGGCCGTGCTGGCGCGGCTGCGCCGGGCCGGGCCGCCCGCCGTGCTGCGCTGCCTGGGCGCGCAGCGCTTCTCTCTGGCCGGCGCCGCCTTCCCGCCCGACTTCTGCGAGGGCACCTTGCCCTACTCCTACAACCTGTGCGTGGCCGCGCCGGCCCGCGCCGCCGCCGAGGCCGCTTGGCCGCCGCCGCCGCTGCCCATCCTGCCCGCCGAGGAGCTTCTGGCCGGGGAGCCCTGCGACAAGCCGATCCTGAGCAGCAGCGCCGTCGCGGGAGAGCCGCCCACAGACCCCGGCGCACCGCAGGTGGGTAAAGTCTCATCCTCCTTCTCTCTGAGCTTTTCCCCAGGTTGTGCAGATGGCAGTGGGCTCTTGGGATTTGTGTCTGTTCTGGTGCAGTTAGTGCTGGTCGTTGTTTCCATGAACACATGTAATAATGCTGCCCCTCTGAGGATGCAGGCTTTGAGAATGGGCACTTCCTGCCTCATCAGCTGTCACACGTGGGCTTAATTGGTAGGTTCTTGTCTTTCAGCTTACGGTGCATGAAATCTCACCGTACTTTTAAAGTATGGTTTTTTATGTTTTTCTTCATCGAATGTTCAGATTCATGGTTTCCTGCAAAGCTTGTGTTGCAGTAGAAATGGTAGTGATAATGAGATCAGTTTATCCATCTCCGATTTGTGTCCGACTTTATCGGAGCTTTATTTATTTGTTCTCTTTCTGCGGTTATGTAGCATTAAGAGTTCGATTATATGTAGTAGTTCCGTCTTGTTTACCGTGGCTTTTCTACAGAGACTGTGAATAAGCTTTAGGAAAGAAATTCGTGAGGTGGTGTTTTTTTGTTTGTTTGTTTGTTTGTTTAATTGGTTGGTTAGTTTGGTTTTGTTTTAACCTGTGTTTCATTTTTACGTATTTTCCTCCAAAATTTATATATGCATTAGTAGATAGTGTGTCTCGCTAAGGCAGTCATCAAGAATGGAGCGCTAAGTTGTATAAGTACAGCCTGTTGTGTAAGTCTGTAATCAAAACTTCGGAAGCAGTGGTTGTAGGGGGGAAGCAATGCAGGCTGATTCAGAGCAACCTCGGATGTGAAAAGTAAGAATATAGGGAAAGGCAGGGAAAGGCAGCCTCTACTACGGCTGTTTCTGAGGAGGCTGTTTTCATTGCTTCTATGTGCAATTCCTCTGGGTCTAGGAATCCACCTTGGCTGGAGGCGTTCGAGTATGAAGCCCAGTGAGAAAAAAATAAAGCACGATTGATATAAAAAGTTGTGCAGTTGCAGGGAAGATGCTGTGCTTTTCTATTATGAATTAGAGATTCATAATAATGCACAAGCCATTTAAAGAAACCTTTGCATCTACAGATTATCGCAATCACATGAATATTTTCCCGTGCGGTAGAAAAAACATAACGCCGGGTCTCCGCTATACTGGACCCGACATTTTCGTGGCAACTGTCCCGTCTTTTTGAGCTTCCCGTGGGCGAGGCAGGGCGGGCATCTCTCGGCAGCGCTCGGTGCCTGCAGTGCCGGGAGGAGGCTGCGGGCGCCGCTGTTGACCGAGAGGAACGAGAGGAAGGTCGGAGCGCTGCAGCCCCGCCCGCTGCGGACCGGCTCGATCGCCAGATTCGTGACTCGGCGGTCGGGCGGTCTGCAGTTTTCCCCGCGGTGCAGAGCCGTGTTGTGGAAAGGCGGAGGGGGTGAGGAGAGCTGCCGGGAGCGGGAGCAGGATCGGTGATCGGTGGCGGGGATCTGCCTGCGGTGTTCCGGTGACAGCGGTGCGGCGGCGGAGATGTGCTCGGCGGGGAGGCGCTGGGGCCGGCGGCAGCGAGTCCTGCTCTGGGGCGTCCTGCTGGCGGCCTGGGAGGCGGCGTGGGGGCAGCTGCGCTACTCGGTGCCCGAGGAGATGCCCAAGGGCTCGTTCGTGGGCGACGTGGCCAAGGACCTGGGGCTGCAGCTGCCGGAGCCCCCAGACCGCGGTGTCCGAATCATAGACAGAGGTAGGACGCAGTATTTCTCTCTGCACGAAAAGACGGGACATTTAGTGACGACCGAGAGGATCGACAGAGAGCAGCTGTGCGAGAGTGTGGAGCAATGCGTGCTGCGCTGTGAGCTGATAGTGGAGGGGGAAATGAAGGTTTATGGAATCCAAGTGGAAATCACGGACATTAATGACAATGCACCCAGCTTCCGAGAGGCAGAAATCGAAATCAGAATGAGTGAGACAACAGCTTCGGGCTCGCGTTTTCCCCTGGCTGAGGCTCATGACCCGGATTCGGGACAGAATTCCCTGCAGAGCTACGAGCTGAGCGGCGACGAGCACTTCTCGCTGGCCGTGCAGACGGGCCCCGGCGGGGATCAGCGTCCCGAGCTGGTGCTGGCGAAGGCGCTGGACCGGGAGGAGGCGGCGTTCCACGAGCTGGTGCTGAGGGCGATGGACGGCGGCGATCCAGCCCGGACGGGCACGGCGCGGATCCGCGTGACGGTGGTGGACGCGAACGACAACGCACCCGTGTTCAGCCAGGCGGAGTACACGGTGCGTGTGGCGGAGGACGTGCCCGTGGGCTCCGTCCTCGTCACCGTCACGGCCACCGACGCCGATGAGGGTCTGAATGGGAACGTGAAATACTCCTTAAAGAAAATTACGGAGAAAGCCTCAAAGATACTCCAGCTGGATCCTGAGACGGGAGTGATCACGCTGTTGAGAAGCCTGGACTTCGAGGACGGAGACTACTACGAACTTGAGGTGCAGGCACATGATGGTGGAGGGCTTTTCGACACAGCCAAAGTCACGATCACTGTGACAGATGTCAACGATAATAAACCCGAACTGATAGTATCGTCGGTGCTGAGTGAGATCTCAGAGGACGCCCCGACGGGAACGGTGGTGGCCCTGCTGCACGTGCACGACCGCGACTCGGGGGCCAACGGCGAGGTGCGCTGCTCGCTCGACGGGGATATCCCTTTCCACCTGGAGAAGTCTCTCGAGGGCTACTACCGTGTGGTGACAGCGAGAGAGCTGGACCGGGAGCAGCAGTCGGAGTACAACGTGACGGTGCGGGCGTCCGACGGCGGGTGGCCGGCGCTGCAGAGCAGCAGGGTGCTGGCGCTGCGGGTGCTGGACGTGAACGACAACGCGCCGGTGTTCTCGCAGGAGCGCTACAGCGCGCGGCTGCGGGAGAACAACGCG